CCCCCCCCCCCACCCCCAAATGACAGGAGGCGATTCTTAGACACGCACCAGGCCTTGTGCAGAGGGGGGTGTGTTCTCAGGGGGAGATTTTGGAGGAAAGTCCGCGTGGCGTCCTCGCCTCTGAAGCTCCTCCTGGCAGGAGGCCGCACAGGGCTGACCGGACAGCCGTTCCCGGGTGTGGAGTTGTGTTGGCTGAGGTTTCGGTGAGTCGGGTGGCAGCGTCGGCGGTGACATCTTTGGGGACGTCTGTCCTGCAGCGCAAGGAATGGCTCACCTGTCCCACTGCACATGGCGGACTGGGAAACAGGAGCACAGCCAAGTGAGACTTTCAGTAATGAGAGAGGAGAGAGAGAGAGAGAGAGAGAGAGAGAGAGAAAGAGGGGGGGTGGAGGATGTTATCTGCAACATTCACCCCTTATGCTTTTCCTTTGTGATGTTCTTTTAAAAAAAAATATATGTATATATAAAATCTTTACTGATTTTAGAGAGGAAGGGAGAGGGGGAGAGAGAGAGAAACATCAGTGATGAGAGAGAACCATGGACCGGCGGCCTCCTGCACGCCCCACACTGGCGGGCAGGAGCCCTGAGCAGGATTCGAACCCTGAGCAGGAATCGAACCCTGACCGGCCGGGCGGTGACGTTCTGACCCTCCGTCTGTGTAGCCGTGAGGAGACACGTTAGGGATCGAGTCAAAGCTCCTTGTGCGCGTGTTTGCTGTTCTCAGTGGACTCTGAGCCACCGGCTGCCCCGGGACTCGGGCGCTGTCTCGTCTCCTAGGCTTTGCCGTAAGGTGCTCTGTACGTTTTGCTGACTCAGAGATAAGGTGGAAGTTAGTAAACCGCGCAGCTGGTAGCGGTGAGTCATGAAGATCAGGGGCACTTGTTGCTGAAGCAGAACGCCCGCTGGGCCCTCGGGGCGGGGACAGGGCCCGCACCGGCCGGAGGCTGTGCCGGCCTCGCGTGTTCCCGGCACCCGGGGCCCTCAGGCATGGGCAGCAGCGGGCAGCTGTGTCCCTCGCGGAGGGACGCCACGCAGGCCTGTCCCGGGCAGAGCTCTCCCCGCAGGTCCTGGCAGCTCCCACCCGCAGACACCGCCACTTGCTCCAGTCTCGGCTCCTGAAACGGCCTGGGTCTGGCTGTGATGTGTTGTTAGCAAGTTCCTCCCGCCAGACGGAGGCTTTCTTTTATTTGTAGATTTTTAGCCATATTTTCCTTAAACTATTATGAGAACATAGGAGAGAAATGAGTCTTTAGATACCACGAAAGCGTGGTATTCTTCGTAGCCTTTCGCTTAATGCTTTCCTAGGGAGGAGGAAATGCTGCGGGAGAGGGAAGACACGGCACGCACGCATGTCCTTGCTGTGAGTGCGGAACGCCGTGGCCGCGGAGTTAGGAGGAAGGAAGATCACCTGGCGGGCGCACCGCTGTGGGGCTCCCTCCCCTGTCATCCCCCCTCCTTCTCCTGAGCCCTGACCCCCAGGGCTGGGACGTGGTTCCTGCGGTTCCCCGAGCCTGCGGCGGCTGGGACCAGCAGCGTCCCCTCGACTCCTTTCCAGGGGCGGGTGCAAACCCCAAGCGAAGAGGATGCACCCCCAGACCCTTGGGGATCTGGACCAGAGCTGGAACCCGGGGGTTTTGGGGAACTGAGAGCTCTTGCTTCTCCCAGTTACAGGGTCGTCTAAGGCGTCAGGGTCCCTCCCTCCCCGCCAGGCTGCCCGGGTTCTGTGCCTGAGCCCGGCTCCTCCAGGTTCCTTCGCGGCCCTCCCTGCCTTCACCCCGCGGCCCTGTCCCTGCCGCGTGGGCACAGCCGGTGGGCCCATCCCCCTGAGCTCTCCTCCCGGGACGGCCCTGAGCCGTGTGTCTGTGGTGAAATGGGAGACCTCCCGTCACATGGTGCGTTTGCCCTGAGCACGGAAGGAAGCCGTCCGGGGAGGAGTGCCCTCCGTGTTGCTAACGTGACCTGTGCTTTCTCCTCACAGGTCAACTTCGTCGTGTGCCAGCTCTTCGCCTTGCTCGCAGCCGTTTGGTTTCGAACGTACCTTCATTCAAGCAAAACCAGCTCTTTCATAAGACATGTCGTGGCTACGCTCTTGGGCCTTTATCTTGCGGTTTTTTGCTTTGGATGGTAAGCATGTTGATCCTATGTAAACGGAGACGCTGATGTCCTGTAGAAAGATACGCTCTCGGAGGTTTTGGGCTTATATTTACTGATAACGTTTTATAGTTTTTTTTGGCTGTTTTTTAAAAAATATATTTTTATTGATTCCAGAGAGGAGGGGAGGGGGAGAGAGAGATAGAAACATCAATGATGAGAGAGAATCATTGATCAGCTGCTTCCTGCACGCCCCACACTGGGGATGGAGCCTGCACCTGGGGCATGTGCCCTGACCGGGAATTGAACCGTGACCTCCCGGTTCCTAGGTCGACGCTCAACCCCTGAGCCACGCCGGCCGGGCTGACTTAGCACTTTAGGCCCAGACTGTG